ACTGTAAAAATAAAATTAATTTTGTTACCAATTTCCTATACAAAGTCATTCATATCATAGTTTAATAATTCTCTTTCTATTGTCAAAATTTTTCTATTCAAAACGGTAGCAGAAGTATAGAAAAATTTAATAGAAATACTGATTGGCATTGAAGAAGAGAATAAAAATGGTGTGAACTTTCAAAACAATAAAAAAATCTTATCAGTAAAGTAACGTGCAGTTTCAATAAAGTCGAAAACACTTAAGGATAATACAAAGTCCTTCATATATGACACTGCAAGTAATCAAATGCTGCTCTATTTCTCTCTATACCAGGCTTTTGTTTATTCTTCACAGACGAGGATATAACATAGATAGGATTTTTGTTTCTGACGTGCACTAATTGGTATTTACTCTGTTTTGTAGGAAGTTGATACCAAAGAAGAGGTAAATGTATTACACAACTGCAAATTTTTGATAAGTATTTATGACGAAAGTCATTTATTGAAAACAAAAGGAAAATCAAAAATAATTAAAAAAAATTACAAAAATGTTAAACATTTATAAAATTAATTATTCAACATTTTTTTTAATAGTAATATCTAATTTCGAAATTGATTTCTTCAACACATTAATATATTATAACCGCATCGAATTTATTTTATATCCAAAGCAACTTAAATAAGTTTAGATTTGTCCCTTTAGACGGATTTTATAAAAGTGTTGGAGTGTCCTGTAATATGCAACTTAAGGATGTAAACTGAACCAACCAGAAATGTCGACCCTTATCAGTTAGTTAAAATTTGGGATAAATTTATTTGAACACGTGTTTTCCTTTTATAGTTATCAAAATTTGGATACGTCAGATAAATTTGGTTTATTGAAATTTATGCAGAAAAATATTTTAGTCTTGTAAAATGTAATAAAATTTTATTGAACACAGAAATTCTTATTTAATTCCGTAGTAAATGAAGTTACTTATGACCTTAACATTATATTTATTATTTTATTTCAAGTTTATTCGTTTAATTTATTTTAATTTTATATTTCAAATAATTAAATCTGTATTTTATTTAAGAACAAATAAGCAAATACTATATATATCTATAGGTAACTCTATAAAATTTACCTAAAATCTATAGGAGAATAAAAATTTGTAGTTCGATTTAGTATTTCACTATTAGTACAAAATATATATTTTTAATAATGGTTTTTATATGTTTTTCAACCTTTTTGTTAAAATTTAAAATAATGTATTCTATATTTCGACACTCATGATAGTCATCATCAGGATCAGAATCTAATATAAATTATTCTTAATAAAATCTATATCTAAACGTCATGCTCTAGATTCTATATATCGACCTTTATCTCGACCTATAGCAGGATATAAAATATATAAAAACCATTATAAAAAAAAAACAGGTCTACTGTTTTTCAGTTATATAGATAATGTAATGGAATCTACTAGAGTGTAATGGTATTATATAGAAAAATGGTTCTTGATGCATCATTTTTCATTTATACTCTTTCCAGATTATAGTACGTATTACCGCACATTTAATTCAAAACTTAGAACTCTAACTTTGACGTCAATGTCACCTGTTGCTTAGTTTTGATCATCACAAGAGAAATAGTTTAAAACCCCACTTACTTGAGATCGTAATTAAGCCTGCAGTGCCTTTTCAAAAACTTGTTGAACATTTTAAAATCAACTGTGCTCAGTGCAACGAGACTATTTGAGGCTACCTTCAGTATATCGATGATGCTGTTGGCCTGTCTTTAGTCATTACAATTCATCTAAAAGTTTTTTGATTGGACTTTCTCTGAGTATCTAAGTTTTTTCACTAAATGTTTCTTTGTTAGAGTGCAGTTATTTGTATTCAATGTTTAATTTCAAAATCCACTAAGTTGGTTTTTACCAATTATCAAGAAATCCTATATGTCTAGATTCTTGAATGATTTTATATAGAGTTTTGGGTTAGTAAGATTTTTTTTGTTGTTAAATATTATTTAAATGGTCGCAATAGTTGTCTTTCTCCTCACACATACGTGTGCAAAAGTTCTGGTGGTAAATAATTGTGCCAGATATTTAAGTAGATATTTTTTTAATAGATTCACCTTTTTGAATGAAGTTTCTAGTTTGAAGGTCCTGTTCTAATATATTTAAAAAACTTTACGTTTGAATTTATTTATATATGGGACTTGCTTACACTTACTTATTTGATTCATATATTCCACTCAAATTCCTTGTTTGGGAATATTTATTACAAATTTTTACATAAAATTAATTCTTGCTTAGAGATGTGTTTAAAGGGCTAAAAATTCAATTTTCAGAAATATTGTAACGCTTTAAAGTACTTACATCGTAGATGTAGACATAGTTTTCTTGTAACTCGTTCCAGTATTAACAAACATTGGTTTATAGATACTTTTAAAAAAATTTGTAATATTATATTAATATTAATATCAAATAGTTAATGGAAACAAAGAAATTTGTATAACAAATTTTTATAAATTATATTCTTTTATTAAGCGATTAATGAAAAATAAATATATAAAAAAATTCTCATAATTAAGTTAAGTTACAGCGAAATTTGTTTTAATGTCAGAATGAACTAACAATATAGGAAAACACTGCGATACAATAGCATGAAAAATATAATAGTTTAAGAGTACAAATTTTTTATTATATTTGCCTGTGTGAAAGTGGAATGGCCTGGTTTGCAAGCACAAATGGAAGTCAAGGTCGAATCTGCTACGGAAACGGATTCCATATTTATGTCCTGCAGCACTGAAAGCAAGATAAGTACAAAAACATTGCTGAGCCGTTTTTCGCAGTACATTTGTAGTTGGCAAATTCGAAAGATACTTAAATGACAGAAATTGTTAAGGCACTTTCGGCATTTTTAAGGACTTCCATGAGGGCGGGAAATGGCGACTACAACTGTGCAATACGAGCACATTGTGTAATTGTTATGCACAACTGTGTTTCCGACAGATTTGGTTTATTACGAAACCGTCATTGCACATTAAAGTACTTAAGGTTAACTCAAGGCAAAATATCTGCCAGCAGTTTTATTTTACTTTTGATTTTGTGTGTTCAAAACATTATCTCATTTTCAGTTACTTAATTTATTAAAAATTATGTGGCATTTGCCGGCAGTATTTACGAAGACAATCAAATTTTAATATATTACTTACAAGTTTCCGTTATGTATATACTCCATATGCTAATAAATATTGAGATTCATAAATCCTATAAATACATTTTTTTAAATAATATGGTAATATTAATTTAAATAACATGTGAATATATATATTCACTGAGTAATAAGTTATGTTGAAAACCAATTACTCTTAAATGAAGTTTAAGTTTCACTGCGAAGTAGACTTAAAGCTACTTCACGGTGGATAGCTAGTGACTGCGTCCACGGATTCACTTTAAATCTTTTTAGTCTGACCATAAAAACAATCGACTACATCTCTGTCTTTGTCTTGTTCGACTGGAAGCTTCATTTCTATTTTACATCTAGAGATACTTGGCTGTTGTAAGGTCCTTTATTAAAGATGGTTTTAGTATATACCATATACATACAGATGACAGTATATGGTATGATAGCAGGTAGTGCTATAGATAGTAGAGTTAACTCGAAGGGACAGAATAAATCTATATAAAACTATATAAGCTTTCTGATCGCTGCAGTATCTTTCAAGTTGAGGTGATTGCTATCAGGGAACTTATAACTTGTTTGGAAGTGAATAATATATTAAATAAAAATATAAAAAAACTCTTAGATTGTCAGACTATTTTAAAGTGCTTGAGTTTAATACAATTTTTTGATTCAGAACAATTTTTGATAATTAAAAATCTTTGAATGAAATGTGGACGCAGTTTTACATTTATCTATTGTGGGTTTCTGGTCATAGGGATATTTTAAGCAATTTAAAATCAGACGAGCCTAGACAGGGTAGTTCAGGTAATTATTCGATGTTCATTCGACCGCGTTCTTTTAAAGAAAATTCCAACAATCTTATTAAGATGCGCTGTAAAGAAATTAGTTTTATGGTAGCCTTGCTGATTCGTCATCTTCGATTAAGGAACCATGGCAGAAGATAGAATCTCCCATTTAAATATTCTTGCTGTAGTTATGGGAAGGACGATAAAAGTTTCTTAGACCTGCTTTGTTACTGCTCAGAGCATGTGCGTCATCCATTGATCATGGTAGAGGCTTATTTATTGAAGATCTTGAACATTTCCAGAACCTCCCTCTAAAGATTTTTTTTCGATTTCGGCAAAGGTTTAGAGCAGTTTTTAAATGCTTTCATTTTTATATGATAACACAATGGGCGGTATAACTTAACCTATTACGGTGGCCTTAAAGACTTAATTACACTTACTAATGAATCTTAATCCTTAATGAAATCCGAAGTACTTTTCGAAATCTTACAATCAAAACAATCTTCTAGAAGTTTTTTGTATGTTTAGTTTGCGTAGGGCTTGCGGTGGATAATAACAAAGCGATGTAAGCACGTTTTGAATTCCGTCTAACAGTTGCTAGAAAAATCATTGAAGCAATATTTAATCTGAAAGCATGTTTTCCTAATTGACAATGAACTGTCAGCAAATGTACTATAATATTGATATATCTACGAGCCATCGTGATCAAATTGTTAGGATTTTTTTAAGTGAGGATCATGTCGTTAGCACACCCTTTTTTATGTTTTTAAAAAAATAATATTAGCTTTATAATAACAATACTCCTCATATTATCAATATGTTCACTCAATCTTTTTGGATTCTCAAAGGGGTGTTTTCGAAAAGTGTTATTTAAAGACATAGTCCGTCCCTCATTTCCTAATAAATATATTGTAGAAGATTAGGTATTAGGTAAGTTTTTGACTACAGCACAAATATTTCATTTACTTTATAATAATATTTTATATTATATTTTTTTTAAATTTCAAATTTCTCAGGAATAATTACGAATACATTTTGTCTAAAGCTCTTAGATTTGCCTTATTCTACAATAACTGTAATATTCTATTATAATTACTAAAATATATACAAAAAATGAATAAATACCTGTTCAATAGACTATGAAGCATGTATATGCATACTCCAAACTCATTAAAAATGTTACTTATTGTTCAATACAAATAGTAAATAAGTTGAAAATGATAAAAAAACCAATAATTATGGAAACTCAAATTTGCAAAAAATTCATTTAATTTTGTATTAAGTTATTGGTCGAATAGCCATTAAAACGTTCTTTAAAGAGTAGTACTCTCCATGCCAGGTGTGCCAAATTACGCCAGTGCCGTATTTAGATTCCTCATATTTGCCTCCCAAATACACACCATTCAAGTTGCTAAAATATATAAAAAGGTTAACTAAACAACTAAATATATATCTTAACTAAACCAAAGACATTTGTCTTACCTGTAATGGCAGTCTCGATACCACCAACAACCTTTAAATAAATCAGCACAATTTCTTTCCAAGAGATCATTGTCAACGTCACCTGTTGTAAATTTCATACCTTCATGATAAGTGAATGAATCACCAGCATCTCCACTATAATTCCCCAAAATTTTTATATCATAATAAGTGGAGTTATCGCCTATGGCAAATGAATCATACTTTGCGTAACGTTTCTCTCCTTCAAAATCTTCCATATCAAACCATAATTCATGTAGTTCAGATTGAGTTATGGCATTTAATTTCTCTAAACCAATGAAAAATGCACCATTCAAATTACCAAAACCTTCTTGGTATGTTTTCCAATCACGAATCTTCGAAAAATCAATTCCACCCTCTTGGCGACGTTGAATTACCGTCCAAGCGGTTCCATTATTTGGATCGTTTAGGCAATAAACATAAAACGGCTTCAGATCTGAATCAGGTATGTAAATTTTATAAATTCCAGATTTACTATTTTCGTATTCCATTGCTTCAGCACAATTCTTTGGTAGTTGTTTTTGATATTTCATTTTAGTTGTTTGGGGCCGACAGTCCATATCTGGAAAATGTAGCTTCGAAAAGTGCTGTTCCTTTTTATTGTATAAACATTTCATCTCTGGATTCAATCTGTAGAAAATGATTCCCCATTTTACCTTTTTTACTTAACTAGCACAATCTAATATTTACCTCATATTGTAGATGTCCAATTTTAGACCCAAGTTTTCATTCACCAGTTTTAATGCTTCCAACTGAGCCCGTACGTCCTTCATGGTGTGATCTTCCCCACAAATAGAAAGTTGCTGAAATGATGAGCGGAATTTTTTGTGAAAACTGTTTTATTTGTACATTAATTCAGAGAATTTTTATGTTAACGCACATTAGTAACATTTTCAAGTTGACACTTTACTGCAAATATCATGACTTTTATGATTAAAATTATTAGTAATTTTTGCATCTTGTTGGAATCACAATCTTCTCAAAACTAAAAACTTCAATTTTTATTTCACAATCTTCTTAGTTTAGTTCGGTATTTATAAGGTTAAGTCAGTTGGGATTTTGCTGATAAAACCTTTTTGTTTAAATTCAATTGAAATGTTTTTAGTTGAGGTTTTTATCTTGCATATGTGATAATATTAATTTTCATTTATAATATTCAAATTTTATTCCCTTTCTCTCCAGATTATTATAATATCTTAAGCTGTCGAGAATAATAAATTAGAAAGTGAACTTGAAATAGAGAATAAATTTATTTTAGATAAGCCTTCACGTTTGCAAAAACTATAGACGCATCATAAATGCATGACACAGGAAACAAGTATAAGATTCTATTTTAGTAATAAATATATATTGAGATAAATCTAATACGTCTTTTAGTACTGGATTTACTTTGAGCAGTATTTTAATTTGGTTATCATTTTGTAGTTAATTATTGAAATCTTGTAATCTCGTCCACGCTCTACTATTTGAATATTATTTGCGTAATTTTAGCGATATTTAATTTAAAATAGCACTTAAACGCAGAAAACCATGGGTGCATCTAGATAAATCAGCCATAGTTTATTGTGATTGTCGCGTTATTTACAAGCGCAAGCTTAACCAGAAGCACTACTCCAATTAGTGGATTTATGCCAAGGCTTTCTTTATTTCCATCATAAACCTACTCCAGACTTTTATTCGCTTAGTAACATTCGTCTTAATTTCATCTCAGTTATATGGATATAGGCATCTCCTTTAATGCCTCTCACTCTACTTCGATACGTTGTAATCTGATTCGATTCGATTTAACATCCTCTTTTACACTTATGGCTTTTTGGAGATTGGGCACATGGTCTTTAATTAATATAAATGTTATAATTTCCACAATTGATCTACCTTTGGATACTGCTAACATTCTTTCTTTATTCATTCCCATTTAATCATTCCTAGCGCAGTTAAGGGGAGGCAATAAAAGTTCGTTACTAAGGTCAATAGACCTAAGTAGTTCTTAGAATTCACTACATAACTTAACCAATTACGGTGGCCCTAGGGAATTAATTAGACTTATTGGCGATTCTTAATCCTTGATAAAATCCGAAGTGCCCTTGGAAATCATCCAGTTAAAAAAAACCCCTAGAAGTTTCTTGTATGTTTAGTTTGCGTAGGGCTTGTAGTGGATATAAACACCTAAGTGAATTGAAATACCTAAGTGCACATTAAGTGAATAAAATATTCTCAGTTTTTGTAGAGAAAAATTTTAATAGTTCTCATTGAGAGCTGAGAATTGTTATAAGTATTTCAAATACACTATATACATTTTAAAAGCACTCATTCTCAAGAAATTGTAGCTATAGCTAGAACTTTTATACAGTCCAATGTAGCTTACTATTTGTGTTTTAAATACATAATTTAAAGCAATATAGATTATATACTAAATCGTTTAAGGCACACCTGACAACTTTTAAATTTTTCCAAATCCTAACGAACTTTACGAAAAAGGTACTAATTTAGTACAATTCCTAAAGGATATTTCATAACATTGTATGGGGCTTTTAGTTTATTTAATATCATAAGTTAATGTCTAAAATAATTTCTGTAGTTTAGTCAATAACCGTAAATATGTTACGGTCTTCGTTATTACGGTCTTTAATGTTTTTTATAATTAAAAGCTTTGAAATAGTAAAGAAACGTAATTTAAAAGCTTGTGAAAGCTCTCTAAATGTGATAATGCTCCTTTGCATGATGATGAGATTTTTTAATAAAATGTTGGATAGTAAATTAATTAAAAATTTCATAAACTTGTTTTTATGAAGTTCAAGTGATTTCATTATAAAAAATCAGAAGATAAAATTCTTTTCTTTGATTCTTACTAATTGAATGGAGATTTTGGTGCAAAATAGTGAAAAGTGCTGGCGTACACTATTAAATACTATAATATATAACATATATAATATAATATATGAAAATTTTTATGAATATAATGACCGTACTGTCAACATGGTTGAAGACACAATCAAGAAATATATCAATGCCTAGGTCAAATGATTAGTAATGTACCAAATGTACCACACAAAGAAGACAAAAACGATTAACTCTGGTGGAACTAATGCATAGATGTGCCTGAAACTTTGATTATTGATAACTCTGTTTTAGTTAACAAAATATTTGTAAAAATATGTAATAGTGGTCATTATACTTTTGTATATAAAGATATAAAAACAATATGTAACTGTTTAATTGACTACAAAGCATGTGTATATGTACTTTAAATTTATTAAAAATGTTACTTATTGTTCAATACAAATAGTAAATAAGTTGAAAATTATAAAAAATCAACAATTATGAAATTAATATCATCTTGTATTAAGTTATTGGTCGAATAGCCATTACAACGTTCTTTAGTGAATAGTCTTCATGCCAGCTTATCCATTCTACGCCGCTATTGTTGTCTTTCAAATACTTACCATTCAAGTTACTAAAACATATCAAAAATTATAACATAAACAATTAATTATATATTTAAATAAACTAAAAGTTGTTACCTCTCATAGCAATCTGAAAACCACCAACCACTCTTAAACAGATCAGCACAATTGTCTTCCCAATGGTCATTGTCAACGTCAACAGTTGAAAATTTCATACCTTGATGGGAAGTGAATGAATCACCAGCATTTCCACTATATTTTCCCAAAATTTTTAAATCATACTGAGTGGAGTTATCGCCTATGGCAAATGAATCATACTTTGCGTAACGTTTCTCTCCTTCGAAATCATCCATATCAAACCATAATTCATGTAGTTCAGATTGAGTTATAGCATTTAATTTCTCTAAACCAATGAAAAATGCACCATTCAAATTACCAAAACCTTTTTGGTATGTTTTCCAATCACGAATCAACGAAAAATCAATTCCACCCAAGCGGTACCATTATTTGGATCGTTTAGGCAATCAACATAGAACGGTTTCAGATCTGAATCAGGTATGTAAATTTTGTAAATTCCAGATTTATTATTCTTAGATTGAAGTGCCTCAGCACAATTCTTTGGTAGTTGTTTTTGATATTTCATTTTAGTGGTATAGGGCCGACAATCCACATCTGAAAAATAAAAATCGCCGCGTAAGTCAATAGATGAAGTGCAATCATTAATCTTAGCTGATTTAATAAAATTTTCATTTAAATCCAGTAGCTTCGAAAATTGCTGTTCCATTTCATTGTATAAACCTTTCATCTCTTTCATCTCTTGACTCAATCTGAAGAAAATGGTTATCCATTTTACCTTTTTTACTTAAGTAGAAAAATCTAATACTAACCTCATATTGTACATGTCCAATTTTAGACTCAAGTTTTCATTCACTACTTTTAATGCTTCTAACTGACTCCGTACATCCTTCATACTGTTGTCGTCGCGCCAAATAGAAGGATGCTGGAATTATTAGAAGAATTATTTATGAAAACCGTTTTATTTGTATATTAATTCAAAGAATTTTTGTGTTAACGCACTTTAATAATATTGTCATGTTGCGATTTTACTGCAAATATGATGATTTTTATTATTAAAATTATTAGTAATTTTTGCATCTTGCTGGTATCACAATCTTCATAAAACTAAATTCTTTATTTTTCATTTCAATATTTTTTTACTTTATGTTTTTTTTAAATCACTTGAGATCATAGTTCATTTTCGTTTATTTCATTTATGTGATAATAGTTAGATGCATCGAACTAAAAAATGTAAATATTTTGAGATAAGCCTTTACGTTTGCAAAAATTATAAGCGCATCATAAATGAATCATATAAGAAGAGAGTTAAATTTCTATTTTCGTCAGGAATATTTATTGTAATAAATCTTTAGCAATTAAAATGCAAATCTTTGTTTATATGTCGTTTATTTCTTAGCAATAAATTCAATCGTTCAGCTTGCATAAACTTACCCCTTTGAAGAATCAAAAAATATGATTTGTAGATTAAGGGAGTTCGACATTTTTAAATCAAACAATTCTGTTCAGTCAATTTGATCCCTAGCACAAACATAGAAATATTCATAGAAACATAGAAATATATATATTCATAACAATTTTATTATTTAAATAATCGGATTATCTTTTGCTGACCGCACATGGTGCATGTCTTTCTTATATAATAATTTTTGCATAACATAATATTATTTAAGCTCTTAAAATCCATTTCGATCGATATTTTTTTTTACCTCTTGCGGCCTCAATATTTTTTCTAAATCAATACATAAAATTATATTAGTTTCATAGTGGCCAGTTGCATCTATAAATTAATTTAATTGGATAATATATAATTATAATTGGATAATAGTATGTACAATAAACCTCTCTAGTACTATTTTCTAAAAACAAATACCAAGGTACCATACGTTAAAAAAGTATCAATTTTTGTACTAAAGTACCACATGTGGAAACCGTGAATACAACAAAAAAATCTTTCTAACTTATTCACCATACCAGAATTGTAAAATATTAAAATCGGTATGGTTTAGAACCTAAATGTTTACTTCTATTGGGGTTACATATTAGTATGTTGCCATTTTTTCTAATAAGAAGAAATAGTACAAATTATTGTTATTGGGAAATCCATTGTGTATAAATCAAATAAAAAATAAAAAATAGGTCAACTAAAATCAGTAGTGCTTTAATTATTATTGCTATATGTTGTAACGGCCAAAATTTTGTCAACCAAAAATTTGATCGTTACAACGTCGTGGGTATAGCTGTCTATTAAACACAACACGACCACCTAACACACAACAAGTAACACTCACTCGAAGGTTCCTGTAATAAAAATTGTTAAATACTTATAAAAACATTAAGTTAAACCAACTCACCCCAATCCTCTGCCACCAACAACGTGACTTTGAATTTGACAAATCTTAAAATTGTATGGAAATCCTTGGTTAGTGCGTGAACAATTTTTGAATAAAACCATAACATAAGACACATATCTTGAGCTATCGTCGGGTGTTCTATTTTGCTGGAACTTTATTGGAAAATAAAATAATTTTAAAATAGTTTTCTAATTAATAGAATTAAATACACACGTTCACCGGCACAACACATTGCTAACAAACAAACGAGAGCAAAACAAAATAATAGTAAAGAGACCTGTCAAACGAAGAAAGCTTTGTGCAGAAAAGGTGTAGAAGTGGATCGCAACTCAGACAAAAACCACTTCTAAATTGCGATAGGTACTCAAAGAAATGTAAATTCGCCGTGAAACTAAACTTTCGCTCAGTGCGGTACAGAAAAGGAGCTTTAATGTTGGGTCAACAAACTTTAACGTTTTTTTTCAGCTGACACCGTTGACCATGGAGGGGATAAAAGGAGCGTTCACCAAGAAGAAGGTCTCTTGTTTGTTCTACCGCGAAAGAAAGACTCCTGGCTCTGGTTTCCGTTGCAGCTAAAAATTACGTGACTAAGACGGCGGTGTCAAGTGTGAAATTACAGTAGTTCTGCAAACTTAGTGAGAATATTTTGTTAAAAAAAATTTTATACATAGAGATTATATATATTTGATAATATCGAAATATTGAAAAATTTTATTTGTAAATTGTGAACATTTAAAAACTGAATTTTGTAACCAAAGTCAAAGTTAAGTAAAAATAAAAAGTACGTATAATTTAAAATTTTGTACACAGAAATTATATATTTGATAATATCGAAATATGGAAAAATTTTATTTATAAATTGTGAACATTTAAAAATTGAATTTTGTAACCAAAGTCAAAGTTAAGTAAAAATAAAAAGTACGCACAAATTAAAATCTTGTACACAGAGATTATATAAATTTGAAAATATCGAAATATGGAAAAATTTTAGTTATAAATTGTGAACATTTAAAAATTGAATTTTGTAACCAAAGTCAAAGCTAAGCAAAAATAAAACGTATGTATAAATTAAAATCTTGTACACATAGATTATATATAGTTGATAATATCGAAATATTGAAAATTTTGCAATAATAAATTGAAAAAAAACTTAACAATTGAATTTTACTAGTGGCTATAAAGCCAAATAAAAGTACGTACAAATTATATCTTAGACATAATTGTTTGGTTGTTAATATAATAAATCTTAACAATTTCTTTTATATCGAATAAATAAATTAAAAGGAAAATAAACTAAAATTGTATTTCAACAAACGCAATCAGATTCTTAACCAAATACAGAATTGATAAAGTACCACATAGACTAGCTACTCCTGCACGGTATAAATTCAACGTGGAATCCAACTCACCGGCACAATTGTGAGACATAGGTAAGCAAGATTCGGGGCTTCAATAGTGACTGAATCTCGGTTGTACGGGGTATAACTCACGTAGCTTTAACAGTCACGTGAGACTATACCATAGTGTCGGAAGCGATAGGTAGCTTTAATAGTAACCTAACGTCTCCGGCCCCTGGGCGCTTTAACAGTGAACAGGGAAGGGCGTGTGACCTGCGACCTATAACACAACGCACGTAGCTTTAACAGTCACGTGTGTCTGCGTTATATCGTGTCGGCTGTCTGGCGAATTAGTATTTGTAACACCAGCTCAGTTCATCAGCGATTTAGTTTTGTTTCGACCAGGTGGCCTGCGGTTCTGTTTATCGTCAGCGTGAAAATTCGAAGTGACAGGGTCTCACTAAATAAATTTCTTGTGTGGACCTTGGGGACGGCTGAGTTCAACCCCAGCTTTAAACGAACCAAAATAAAGGTTCATTACAATGTAAATATATATAATTAGTCATGAAAGTGTTTTAATGATGTGTAATAATTGTATAGTATTTGTTAAAATAAAAGTAATTTTTGATCATGTTGCACATATACGTCTTTATATATATAATGCTTAAAAAATGCATTTGTAGCAAAAATTAGCAGCTTCTCTATTAGAGAAGTTAAGGTTCATATATTTCGAGTGTTAGGTTATATTATATTAATGTTCTGTTTTAAAACGATAAATATTAATATAATTTTTTAACATTCAAAAATTTTTGTATATAACAATACAATTTTTGCTTTTCATTGAAATTCAAGAAATTCTTAAGTAGTTAATAAAAACATTGTGAAGAATGGGTATCAATTTCATCGCGTAGTGTCAGAAGATATATAGAATATATGAGCATTTTCCGCACCACCTAAGAAGTATGCTTGCTGGCGTGTTACCGAGTTTTAGTTCCCCAATACGAGGTATTCAGTTCCCCAATAGACTTAACCACCAAAATATTTTATTTAAGAAAAAAGTAATAAGGAATTAATTAGTTATATGTAAATTATAAATATATATTATATATTATGAAATTAACATGTTTTATTAAGTTGAAGTAAAAAATCACTTAAAGAGTATGAACCCTTTTGTGCTTCTAATACGTGTTCAAAGCATAATTGTTATCTAAAATTCGAAACTTTATTATCTCGATTAAAAAGTTTTATAAGAAAGTAAATCCTTACTCTAATGAATAAAACTAGAAGAGATTCTATTATGCAATTAGAGCAACATATATTGTGATGAACGTTTTTTAATTTCTTAAACAAAAAGACAGACTTATAAGTGGTAAATTTATTTATAAATCAAGACGAAGAATTAATTTTATTATTATAATTAGTGCAATACAATGAATGTAGTGATTAGTGCAAATTTTGAATGGTGGGTTGAAAGTTGTCAAAATTAAAACGAGTTTGTTGTGATCGTGATTGAAGTTATAATCTTTTTTTATATAGTTTGTTTAAACCCTAATTTGTTCTCAAAGTTATTTTATATGTATTTAGATATGCCTATATAATTAATATATTTAAATATCGTATTCTGTGTATTTGTAATGTAACGTTAGCTGTATATATTGAAATGTGTAATGACGTTGACTAAACAATAACAGCAGTAGCAGTTCCTTACAGAGCAGTTAGGAGAGATCAGAAATTCGGTTCAAAAATTTCTTATAAAAACTTTCTGCATATATTTTATTTACTTTATAATAATATTTTATATAATATTTTATTTATATTTCACATCTCTAAAGAATAGTTACGAATACATTTTGTCTAAAGCTCTTAGATTTGCTAATCTATAATTACTGTAATATTCTATTATAATTACTAAAACATACACAAAAAAATAAATAAATACCTGTTCAATAGACTATGAAGCATGTATATGCATACTCCAAACTCATTAAAAATGTTACTAATGTTTAAATACAAATAGCAAATAAGTTGAATATGAAAAACCAACAAATATAAAAACTAAAATTTGTAGAAAATTAATTTTATCTTTTATTAAGTAATTGGTCGAATAGCCATAAGGACGTTCTTTAATGAATAGTAGTGTCCATGCCAGGACTCCCAAATTACGCCGGTTGCGTATAGCGATGCGTTAAATTTGCCTCTCAAATACTTACCATTCAAGTTACTAAAACATATCAAAAATTATAACATAAACAAAAAATTATATATTTTAAATAAACTAAAAGCTCTTACCTGAGAAAGCAAGAGTTATACCACCAACCACCTATGTATTTATTAGCACAATTGCCGTCCCAGTGATCATTGTCAACGTCAACTGTTGTAAATTTCATACCTTCATGATAAGTGAATGAATCACCAGCATTTCCACTATATTTTCCCAAAATGTTTACATCATATTGAGTGGATTCATCGCCTATGGCAAATGAATCATACTTTGCGTAACGTTTCTCTCCTTCGAAATCATCCATATCAAACCATAATTCATGTAGTTCAGATTGAGTTATGGCATTTAATTTCTCTAAACCAATGAAAAATGCACCATTCAAATTACCAAAACCTTTTTGGTATGTTTTCCAATCACGAATCAACGAAAAATCAATTCCACCCTCTTGGCGACGTTGAACTACCGTCCAAGCGGTACCATTATTTGGATCGTTTAGGCAATAAACATAGAACGGTTTCAGATCTGAATCAGGTATGTAAATTTTGTAAATTCCAGATTTATTATTATTAGATTGTAGTGCTTCAGCACAATTCTTTGATAGTTGTTTTTGGTATTTCGTATTAGTGGTTTGGGGCCGAAAATCCACATCTGCAAAATCAAAATCGCCGCTTATATTAATAGGTGGAGTACATTCATTTGTTTCCTGAACTACATTTGCATTCAAATGCCATAGCCTCGAAAAATAATTATGGGTTTGAAGTCGACAATCCTCATCCGGAAATATAAAATCGCTGCATATATCAATAGGTGAAGTGCAATCATTTATTTCCTGAGCTGATTTAATAAAATTTTCATTTAAATCCAGTAGCTTCGAAAAATGCTGTTCCAATTCATTGTATAAAACTTTCATCTCTTGATTCAATCTGTAGAAAATGATTCTCTATTAACTTTTTCAAATAAGTAGAAACATCTAATACTTACCTCATATTGTACATGTCCAATTTTAGACCCAAGTTTTCGTTAACCACTTTTAATGCTTCCAACTGATCTCGTACATCCTTCATAGTGTTGTCTTCGCGCCCAATAGAAGGTTGCTGAAATTATTAACGGAATTATTTATGAAAACCGTTTTATTTGTACATGAATTCAAAGAATTTTTATGTTTACCCACATTAATAATATTGTCATGTTGGGATTTTACTGCAAATATGATGACTTTTATTATTAAAATTATTAGTAATTTTTGCATCTTACTGGAGTCACAATCTTCTCAAAACTAAATTTAATTTTTATTTCACAATTGTTTTAGTTAATCATTTCTAAAAAAGAGTGTGGAGATTTTTCTGATAAAAGTTCTTTTTAAATTATTTCAGATTTTTGTTCAGTTTTTTTTATTTCATATTTGTGGTAATAGTTATATGTATTAAAAAAAAATATATTCTGCAAATTTTATTCCTCTTCTCTCTATCATATTATTACAACATATTAAGCTGTCGAGAATAATAAATTGAGAAGTGAATTTGAAATTAAATATTTAAATAAAAAATGAAAACATTTTGCGATAAGCTTTCACGTTTGAAAAACTATAAATACATCATAAATGAATCACATAAGAAATTAGTATAAAATTATATTTTCGTTATAAATTCGTATTGTGATGAATCCAACACAAATTATAGTGTTTGACTTACAATTTAAATTATTAAAAAATATTATGAGTTCTGACTTAACACATATGTAGCATAAATCATGACTTTAATCGAGCTATCAAATACTTTTATTGTTATTTTTTAAACAACATAAAGTTTTATATATAAACAAATACAAGCCATTAATTTTGAATATTCGTTAATTTTATTTATTGTTATTGAAAAAAAAATTTATTAAAATTGTTAATTAATATTTTTAATATTTTTTTAATATTTTTATTAAAAGTAATAAAAATATTGCAAATGACATTAATTACAAACAATTTACAATAATTATTTAATACACACCACACTGAAGTCAAACAATTATTATAAATATACATTAGACATATGCAGTATATAGTAAACCAAACAGGTGAACATAGTTTCTTCTCACCATTACCCCACGATTATACAAACCAACTATTAGCGATGACATATATGTGGGGAAAAAGACAACAAATCGGTCTTATAATTGGTATATTCATTTATAAATCAAGAAGAAGAATTAATGTTATTGTTGTAATTAATGTAATGCAATGAATGTTTGAAATTAGTGCAAATTCTTAATGGTGAGTTGAAAGTTGTTAACATTAAAACGCATTTGCTGTGATCGTGAGTGAAATTATTACAGTTTTTTATAAAGCCTGATTTATGAATTGTTAATGTGTAAATTTTAATTGTTCTTAAAGTAATTTTATACATATTTGCATATGTGTATATAATTAATATATTTAATTATGGTATTTTGTGTATTTGTAATGTAACGTTAGCTGTATTTATTGAAATGCTTGATGACGTTGACTTTAACAACAACAACAATAGCAGTTCGTTACCGAGCAGTTAGTAGAGATCAGAAATTCAGTCCAAAAAATTTTTAAAAGATTACTACATTGAAGTCAGAATGAATGTTTGGCAAACTTTAACGGTAGGTAACTTTCAATATAATTTGAATATTAGGTATTCCATGAGATAATTCAGCAGTAACTTTGAGTAATACTGTACATTAAGACCTGAAAAGTTCGGAAACTGTGCTCATGTTTAAAATTCCCGCCTGTAATATTTCGATATTGTAAGTTTATGTAGTTTTTGTCAAGCAATTAAGGACAAATTACGTATGGGCAAAAACTGAGCGTGATCTGTCAAGTCAGTGCTGTTACGGCAGCTTGTAAACCAGTTCACCTCATTAGTGCGTTGCGAAAAAAACAATGGAAAAAAATATTGAACAAAGAGTTTGCATCAAATTTTGTGTTTCGAACGAAATTTCGTGTGCAGAATCGTTCCGAATGCTACAAAAGGCTTATGGGGAATCAGTTTTATCGAAAACTCAAGTTTATGAGTGGTACAAAGCCTTTCAGGACGGTCGTACGACCGTCGAAGACATTTAGCAACGCACTACTGAGGTGAACTGGTTTCAACAGCTGCCGTAAACGAACTGTCTGACAGATCGCGCTCATTTTTGGCATAGTAATTAATGACAGTGCTGCCAAACTACATAAACTTAAAATATCGAAAAATATACAGCGCGCGAATTTTAAATGAGAATTTCCGAAAACTTTTCAGTCTTAATGTA